TTTCGAAAGATGTTGTTTGAGACATAACTATTTCAATCAAAATCAGTACTACTCTAAAAATAGAAATCGACTAGTTAATGCCTACGAAAAAAAAAACAGACAGAAAATTATCTAGCTGATGCTTATGGGAACCATCCGTATTTTACCTTCTCTCGAACGTCATACATATCGTCTGAGCCAATCCCATCTATATGCAATCTTTGCGGCGCTAGTTTCGCTATGCTGAAGTAAAATATTATTTTCATATTAATTTCAAAAAACTTTTTATTACATAATTGATATATATCAATAGAATTCTTAGTGATTTATTTTATATTGCAGTTTCATTCACTTACTTGAAACAAATAGCATCCCTACCAATCGGAATTGCAAGAAAAACTGGTTGAACATCAACTTTTGTGTAGACAAAGAAGATAATCAGTTAAGATATCGATTGTGTGAGTCCGCTTTTTGAAAAGTTATACTTGTGCATTGGTTTATTATATAACTCATTGGAACAGAATCACTGCATTGTATTACAGATAGAAATAATGTGCAGCAATTTTCCAGCGAGTGCATCAGAATATTTCGTATGCACTACTAATCAATATACTTTTCAAACACATCATGCAGTTTGAGATGCTATCCTATATGGTTTACTACTTGGCTGCAGTTAAATATTAGGATATGATCATAATTGTATTATTTGTTTTTTTTATATGCAAATATTATTTGCTGATTTTTTATTGATCGAATTCAGTAGAATATTGTTTTATTTTTGTTTCATCAATTAAAATTAATATGCCGAAAGCATCCCATACCGCATATCTTTAGACAGTCTTGAACTTTTTCTCATTTATAGAAAAGATGTATGTGGTTTTTGTTAATCATATGATACTGTAGTCAATATTAGGCTGACAAAGAGTTGCGTTTTTTCCGAGATCTCCTGTAGGCAGATTGGCTTTCATTCTATGGTTGATGGCGGATCTTAAAAAAAGCCTAGCTGTAAACTTAGTAACTTGACAATACCAACAACTAGCAACCTGTAGTTTTCAATCAGCGAGAGAGGATGTTTGTTTCTTAAGAATATTCTAAACAATGAAATCATTTTGAACACTATTATTTATATAAATCTTTCTGAAATAAATATGAAAATTAAATATTTCACTTTGATTTTGTTTATCTTGCTTAAAGAAATATCGAAGTTTTTCATGATTGATCATTAGAAAAACAGCTTCGAATTGAAAATCATCATTATCAGATAGTTACCTAAGTCCATCTAATAAAAACTGGCGTGAAATTAAGGATTATTTTTTTCTTCTGAATGTTAGTGCCCATATGAGTCTTGAGAAAGCTGGAAAAACTGGTGTGAAAACATTGGTTTTATCATTAAACCATATGAAATTGGTTTTAAGCAACGTAATTGTTAAAATTCAAAGAAACATTGAATAATTTTAAGGTATGTATTAAAAAGCAAGATGCTATAATCAAACAAAAAATGTTTCAAGAAATTAAACCCAGCAAACGCAGTTGTATTAATAGTTCAAGTGAATCACTTTCTTTTGAAAAAAAAAATATTATTTTTCTTTTTGTATCAGTGTACATATTAATGAAAAGGGTGCGCATTCATCTTTGTATAATAAAATTGGTATTTTTTTTGTTGCAAGCACAAAGGTTTTTTCCATGGACAGATATTGGTGGTTATATTTTTTTGTATAAAGTAGCCAGTGATGTTGTGTATTTCCTTGGCAATCGATTTTTGGACATCTACATTTAAATGACATGAGATTTGCAGAATATGTTAGGACCACAATGGATAGGCGATGCTAAAATTTTCAGCTCTATATCAGGACACTTTCACGAGATATTCAACAAACACGAATCCAAACTAGCTTATTTGGTGAACCGAATTTCTCTGTGAATTTTCATCCTCAAGATTTATTATTCTTTTATTTGAAAGACTGTCTCAGACTGCAATGTCTAGCATAAACCTATTAATTATTATGAAGCTCATTCGGGAATTCTGCTATGTACCATCGAAAAAAGGATGAACATAGAACAAATTTTAAAAAATCTCTATGTTTTCTGAAAAATTGCTATTTTCTAAAAAGCATATAACGAAAATTATCAAAAATTTTGGTAATAAAGCAGGTGTCAAATAAAAAATCATATCGTTTATGAAAGATTAGACATTGGGCTATCTTTTCATATATTCATCTCAATTAATAATTTTTTTGATAAATATTAACTTCTCTTTTTTTAGGAGGAATCTTAATGGTAACCTACCCCTCTCCTTCGCTTCATTCTTTTACTTTTTGTAATCATTAGAGCTCTGCGTGAGATGAGATGCGACGAGAAAAATCGTCCCATGGAATGAACGGTAACAAGCCGTCCCATAAGAGATGAACCTTTTTTCAAGATTTTCTGTTCCATGTGAAAGAGGATTATCCTTGAATATTTCATACCACCTTGGGGTAGGATCGGACACAAAATGTTTCATCCCATTTCATGGAACTTCACGTTCGTCATCCTATTAAAAATGATATTTGAGCACATATATCATTTTTATTAATAGTTGGTAAACCAAAAGTTTTGAGACCAAATGTTTCTTCATTTTTCAATTGACTAAGAGGACCAGTAGAAATTTTTACAACCTTGCGTTAGCATCAGAGTTATGTGCTTCTTTCCGAATCTAAGTTCAGAATATTTGTGTGATTCATAGGTCATCAATTATGAGCTAATAATTGAAAGGCTTGACAAAAAGTTTGAACGGATTTTACTGCGCAACAACCGTTCGGAGTAGAGTTAAAATTTATTTTACAAATATCAAATGGAAGAGTAAACATTTCTCTACAGAATAATATTCTGATCATTAGTTTTCCGTAAGGCGTCAATCAACAACGAGAGCTTTGACAAAAGCCACAATGACAATTTTGCAACTCCTCGATTCTCAGAGTTAAAAAGTGAGCTCGGACATTTCTGCAGATCGCTGTCAGATTGTCGGTTCTTAGTGTACTTTGTACAGCACAATGTCGCTCTTCATATTGTGCAAAAAATTGTTAAAAAACGTATGCTATAGAGGACATCATTGCAGACAAGGATACATACTGTTTAGATGCTGCTCCAAAAAATCTCAAAAAAACTTGACACAGAAAAACAAAAGAGAGTGGTACTAAGTGAAATGAGTGTCTTTACGATAGAAATACTAAAGTGCCAAACAAATTGCTGAGGAGTATCTTAGATCTAATTTCAGACGTGATACGATGACGTTCTCCATCTTTAGATCTGCTAGTACAACTGTCTTCCTTCAAATTGTTAAGTTAAGACCTTGAAAAGATCAGCTCATAACTTCTAATCTATGGGTTCCCCAAAACATCCAAATCTAATTGACGGTTTGAAATTTTTGCTGAAACCTTGATCAGTTAAAATATGATGGCATATTTTATCTTCAAACTTTCGGTCAATCCATTGCTACCAAGTTTTACATCATTTCATCTTATATTGCTGAATTTTATCGTAATCAAGTTCACATTTTGACGAGAAAGACATCTATTTCGAAACTATTGTATTGTTCTTAATACAAAAAAGATTATTGTAAATAGTGTTTGTCCCATGGGATAGAATATTTTTGAAAGCTTTGCATGGTAATGGGATGAGATATTTCTCATAAGTGTTTCGTCCCATGGGACGGGATGATTCTGAAAATTTTCCGTTCCATCCCATCCCATCACACGCGTAGTCCTGATAGCCATTGTATAGTCTGAAGAGTACACTTTGTGATCTAAAGAATTGCCTTCACACGTTCAGAAATTCGAGAAGAAACCAAGCTAGTAAGAACTATATATTGTTTCACGCTTTTCGCAAACCAACTTTTTCATGAAAAAGATGTACAGAAACGCTCTTTGTTTCTTAGTCCTAGTACGTCCTATCGAACTGAAACTTTTTTTACATATATTATACATTGTTTGAGATACGTAGTTTTTTTTGTTCCAAAGAATATTGTTCTGCTAACTTTTGATAGCTCTATTGAAAAAAAATCATATGCTTTTTAGGGTACTCTCTATATTTTTAGCTTTTTTTATTCGAAGGACAAAAACATAAAAGATATTCATTCGAAAAACTGTTGAGTGCCTGTAACGATATTTTCAGTTCGATCAAACGTAGCATTTCAGAGAGATGGAGGGGAAGCATTTTTGCCATTGTGATTGCAGTATCTCATAGAAGATGACATCTGAGAACTTTGAGCCAATAACAACTTTTGCTCTATTCTTTTAGATCTACCTGTCATAAAAATTTGACAATTTTCTGACAAGCCTTTCCTCAGAAACCCCGAAGAGCGAAAACAGGTACCCTTAAAGAAGAAAACGTGTTTCTGATTATCTCTGATGGAAGAAATATAATTGATTTTCTATAGTTTTATTTTGTTGTCATACTTCGGTCTATTTTCATGTATATAAAATAAATAAAACAATTTTCTGATTTAATCAAATAATCTGAAATTTAAATATAGCCGAAGATTCGGCGGCAGGATATTCATTAAAAAAACGTTCTTTGAAATGATAGTAGAATGAACAAGCATGATTACATCCGACTCTACCAAGAGTATATCAATCGAGATGCTATCAATCACAACGTAAGCCGATGGATATTGATGCAATGATGTTCTTTTTGATGCCGTTTTCTAATTTCACAGTCAAACATTTTTTTTTTAAATAAGATAATTGCATTCAAGTTTTGTTGTTTATATAAATAAATAAATATATATATCATTATATGATGGATATTTATGTATTTTAATTGCGTGAATATTGGTAGATGTATGCAAGAAAAAAAAAATACTACATTGCTACACTTTGCATCTGCCCTAGTGTCGACTTATTCGATGAGAGTTCCTTTTCGACTTGCACAATATAATCCTCTTGAGTTCCCAAATATAGGTCAATATAACGAGTGTTGTGATCGATCAGATAATTCTAAAAAGAATGTTGATTATATGAATAATACTATAGTACTTCTATGCTTCATACCTGCATGTTTAGTTTAGATTCCATATATTCAAGAAGAATTGCATATGCTTTGTTTTCAATATCTACTGCAGTTAAATCATTACTCGTGTCTAAATAAATTGATATTAAATAATAGAAATGAATAAAATCTTCTTATTTATTCTTACTTTGATTTGTTAACATTGCAATTATATCACTAAGTAATTGGTCATAATTTTCAAGTGATTCATCATCTTGTTGTTGTTGTAAATCATCGATTTCTTGTTGATGTTCTTCAGTGAAAGAAATTGAATCTATTTCACTTGTTTCATCATGTCCATTTGTTGTTGTCGATGATGTTGATTTAAATTGAAGTTGTTCATCATCTTCTTTAGTAAGATGAGAAGGCAGTAAAGGATTATATATAGTCATTGATAGATCATCGGTAAATCGTAAATATTGACATTCAAGTTGTTGATTGAGTTCATTAAGATGTGTTATATTTTGTGTAATAAGCTTCAATTGTTCTGAACGTTCACCAGCTAATTTTGTTTCGTTTTCATTATCATCTAATTCAGTGTAAAGATTATTTAATTTTAATGTTTCATTATTGACAATCTAGATGATATAAAAAGATTATATATAATACTCCTTTGAATGTTTTTTTTTGTTTATCATATACGATATCAACAATAAGAAATTTGAACAAACTTTGGTGCTTTTTGTTATAGTTGGATATTGTTCGTCGAGTTAACCATAAAAAAATTTGTTTTTGATATATTCAGACAAATCTCTAGTAGTGAAATTTCGATAAATTAAACTACAAATGATCAGAAAAGTCGATGCTAGAAGCATCAAGCCTCAGCAATATTGTTTGATTGTTGAGAAAATCGATTTTTTTTGTCGATATGATAGCAAAACTTCATGAATACCAGTTTGTATTCTAAGAGTTTGACCATCAGAATTTCAGTTCCAAAAGAAACAAATATCATATCCAGAATCAGCCCAACAATGTGCATTGAATAATATAGTCAATATTTAATCTAATTTTCGTCGAATGTCGGTCCTTATGAAAAGCAGTTGAGTCCAACGAGACAGTTCTGAATCCTGTTTGTTCTGTCCCACTGAGCATGCGAAATCAGAACATTTTGAAACGACAACGGAGCAGAGCTCGAGAAAGTACAAGTCAGCGTATTTGAAAATAACAGTAAGAGAATGTAAGGGTCGTAATTTGATGAAAGTTACTTTTGAGTATTGACGATACTATTCAATATAGTTTTGTTTGGCTGATTCTGAATATGATATTTCTTTTCAGACTAAAGTTCTGAGGGTCAAAATCTTGGAATAAAAGCTCATGCATACGGTATTTCATTATCATATTAAAAACAAAGTAGTTCATATACTATAATGAGATGATATTGATATACGGTCTGTGATCGTATATCAAACAGTGTCTGTCATGATATGCGACCATCAAATGAGAATATTGCTAATGCATGTGTTACGGTCTATGACGTTTCTACGATTGTGCTAGTCATATTTGTATGGGGGGTTTCCAACAATATTTCAAAAAATATGCCGAGATTTTTTTCCGCGCTATAAAATGAATAAAATCCAAAAACCATGTGAATGATTATTGAGGCTATAGAGATTTGATACTTTTGGTGTATTTCAGTTTGTATAGGCTTTTTTATATAATTTTTTAGGTTTCACTACAAAAAACGTCATCTGAATATGTCAGAAAAAAAAAACATTTTTATAGGCAACTCGATGAGCTGTATCCAACCATAATATAAAAAAAAGTTTTCTCAAATCTTGAATTGACGACAAATTACCGAAATCGAAATTTGTATTTTGTATACTTACTTTGCGAAGTGGTTCGTATGTTTTCTCTAATTCTTGCATTTCATTATTTTTTTCTTCATTTGCAGAAGTTTGTTTTCGTCGAGATGTGACTCTATACATAGAAAAAATAATAAATTAAATCTCAATTTTTTCTGGATTTACTCTCAACTTACTTTCCTAATTCAACAACTTTTCCGCCTAATAAAGTATTTTCGTCCGAAAGACATTTTGAATTGTTTTCATATATATTAATTTCATCCGTAAGATGACTTTGAACTTCAACTCGAAGCGTATTCATAAGTGCATGCTAAAAAAGTTAATTTAAGAATGTAAATTTGTAAAAAGAGGAAAAAAAGTTTTATTCTTACTGTTGTTTGAAGTTCACTGAGGTGTTTTTGATGTGCTTTTTGTTTTGTCCATAAATGTTCCCATATTTGTTTATATTGTTCGGTCAAAAAGAGTTCATAACATGAATGACATTTATATAAACGGTCAAATTGTTTAAGTTCATTAGATGAACAATCTACAATTATAAAATAATTTTTTTTTTAATTAAAAACTAAAATTTTATCATATTTACTATTTGTAACAATGTCATTAAAATCAAAATGTGGTATGGAAATAAAGTCATGATCATTCCAGGTTAATTCATCAATAATAGAACTTTTTGTTTCTGAACAAATATATAATTCAGATGGTATCTGAATTGACCATGGATCAATAAAAGATTTTTGATCAATAAGCACATGATCATCATTGTCATCTTCTTCATATTGAGTTTGATTTGTTAGAAAATGTTTTTGATAAAACGGTTCTGTTATCGATACTAAAGCTGAATGTCGAGTACGTTGTTTTGTTGAAAGTGATTGTGTACGAGGTAAAATATCATCAGTTGAGGTTGTTGGTGCAGCAAGAACAGGTGAATGAATTTGTTGACTAGTAGCACAAGATGCGGATGCACATCGTTGTCGTTTTTCATTTACTGATGTTGGTGAACTATCATCTAATTGTTGTTGTGATGTTTCTTGTTGTTGCTGTTGTTGTTGTTGATTATCGAGACTATGTTCAGATGGTGAAAAATAAAAAGTTGCTTGACGTTGTGGTGTTAAAACAACAAGAAGATTTGGATCGTAACGACCGAGAATTTTTCTCCAGTGAGATGGTAAATCTATGAATAAAATAAAAACATTATTTCATAGAAATTTTGTGGAATTCGCATTGTGTTTTTCGAAGCAAAATATAATGAATATAAGTGTTAAGTCGAGGTCTTGCAGCTTTTCTCCCTTTAGAGCATCGAGACTCAAAGCTCAGAAGCCAATGAGTACGTTTTTAAAGCAACTGAGGACATTTGGAACTAGACTTCTTTCTCAGAGTTTCTTAGCAACGAAAAAAGCGGCATGACAGACAAGACTTAGACCTTTTTAGATATTGGAATGATTGGAATAGGTTTGTGAATGTACTATCTAGCGCATTTTTTTGTTTTAGTAGAGATAAAAATATTATTTGTAACGAGGGAATAATAACAGGGCAGACAAAAAATTTTATCAGTGTGGCTCCATGAGAGGCTAAAATGTAGAACTCACAAAATCTAACTATCATAAATGTGTAGTATATTGCCAGGTGTTAAAATAATTTATTTTTCAAAAAATGCTAAATAAATTAATAAATCGAAACCATCATAATTTTAGAACTAATTCGAGCGCTCTAAAATTTTATCATTGCAGAAAGGTTTAATTTGAGAGCAATTTATTAGATTAGTTTACCATCTTTATACTGAAACAATCTAGTTTGTATTATCAGATACATCTTCAATAAATAACTTCTTTTCTCCTAATGATAATATATACGATACATGCTACAGGATGAGCAAATCTTATTTTAGTCTTCATTTTCGTCAATGCTCAAGTAGCATATGAGCCTGCTATACACATTGATGTAATCCTTCAGTAATCTTCCGAGTACACTTACTGACGCCCTTTTCTAGTTGCTAGGACGTATATGGAGAGCGCAAAAATCTCGATTTTAAGTTACACTACTATTTTCTTTAAAAATATGTGTGAGTTTCACAAAATAGAGTGCCAGTAAAAAGAATTTCTGTTCGAAATGCAGAAATAAATAAGGCAGATTATTTCTTTAATGAAAAATTATCCTTGGAAAACAACTGTAGGTGAACATGAGATTTTTCATGGAGTTTTTTTTTTTATATTAGTATAATGAGGGCAAGAACCAGGGTTGCCAGATTGTCTGAAAAGTCAGGACAGTGTCTGAAATTTGGATGGCTTTCTGATTTCCTTCTGACAGTCTGATTTTTTCTGATTTTAGCACTCTCGTCTGATTTTTTTCTGTTTTTGATAATTTTCCCTGCTTTTCTCCTGAATTCTGAACTTTTCTAAATCATATCACAGCTTTTTTAGCGGAATTAAATCATATCATATTTATTCGTGTGAACAATTTTATAAATATCTTTTAACTCAAACACATTTGTTAAAGCAAATTCGAAAAAATAGAAAATATGAACAATAATATCGAATCTATGTTACATAATCATCAGTGTTTTTCTTTCATAGGATCTTATAACTTATATCGTATATATGTGATTTGTTTTTGTACTTTTTTTATGAACGAATTTTGCGTTTAGCGAAAGAGTTCGACACTACGTGTTTTCATTAGTTTTCCCTTGTTAGCTAAACAGTATATTCATTGTATTATGCTTTTTTATAGCGAAATATCTTTGAAAATAAAGTATGAATTAATGAACAGCTATTCAATAGAGCATCTTGTACCAACATGATACCATAATAACCACTAGGTTTTTCAAAAACTGACTTTTCTGATTAATTTCTGATTTTGCAAAAAAAAATTCTGATGGTTTTCTGATTTTGAAAAAAAAAATTCTGATTTTTGAGTTTTCGATCTGGCAACCCTGGCAAGAACACATGTAAGTTCCATATTTTAATTTTTAAGGGGCTGTGATAACAAGCATTTTTTGTAATGAAACTTACTTTGATCATAAACCGTTGAAATTATATTAATAACTGAGTTGACAAATATTTGTTGTTGTTGATCAGAACGTTGAGTATTTGGAGTTGATGAAGATAATGCTGACAGATCATTGTTACTTTGTAATTCTGGCATTGTTTTAACAACCCGCATGTCTGATCCAAGTGCTGGTGATGATGGTGATGATAAAACAGAAGAAGAAACATTCGGAATAGATAGTGTATTATTAGTTTTCGTAGTTGTTGTAGTAGTATCCGTTGTTGAAACTGTTATTGTTGGAATTGGTGATGGTGTTGGACGAAGATAAGATTTGATCTTTTCCTTAATAAAATTATTATATATGGAAAAATCTAAGATTAAAATATGAGCAAACTTTGAATTTTTGAAGTGGTGAACTATTAGACCGTTTTGAAATATTTTCCGCTAAATTAAAAGATTGAAAATCGTTTACAATAATCAAATAAATAACTCTTTCCTACGTGGACTAGACATGTCTATTGTATTTCGAAGTCCATCAGATAATTGATCGACTGATCTAGCTGGAGATTGTCCTGTGAAAAAAAAGTATCCAATATATATATATATATGTATAATGTAGAAGTATTATGTTTTTCAATATTCGTACGTTTAAAATTATAGAAAGGTAAAATTCTTTTCATTTCTTGATGCATCCAATTATCAGCTCCTGGTGATTCTCTTCCAAATAATGGATCAAGTGAAAGTTTTCGTGCTTCATAAATAATATTACATGAATATTGTCTCGAACGTTTAATTTTTTCTAATTCACGTTTACGATCACTATCAATAAGACGTGGATTAAAACGAACACGTTGAAACATCGGCATAAATATATGTTCAAATACATCAAGGCTATCATTTCGTTGAAATTCACGTTGAATATAATATAAAAAATTGCATGGATATACTGTATAAAGTGTGTAAAACAATGCATGTGCCGACTGATTTACAATCCATAATTGAACATTTTCAAGAGAATCTAATTTAAAAGAAGAACAACAACAACAATAAAATTAATGAAAACTTTTATTTTAATAATTGGTTACGAGAATTTGTTTGAATTGAAAGTTGTCGAAGTGACGTTAAATGTTTAAAAAGATATTTGCATGTTGCTTTAAATATATTCAGAATTGATTCTGTTTGTTGAACAATTTCACCAGGTAGTATTGCAGTTAAGGCAGCAAAAAAATAACATGCTTGTGCTAAGACATTTGGATCATCTTTACTCTAAATAATAAACAATTTTTCCATATACAGAGTGAATCCAAAGTTTTGATCCTGTTCATAAGAGAAGTGCTCCAACTTATAAGTTACTTTCGAGTTACGATTATGCAGGCTTAAATGAACGACGAATACCTTGAGAAGCGTACCTGTTTAGAGTTTATTGCTGCAAAGATACTTCATTTTTAAGATATTTTTTTCAATGAATACCGTGATTCTCCTTAGGAACATTAGAAAAATAGAGAAACATTAGAGCTATCATCGAAAAAAAAAATATAGTTCGAAATGCATAAATGTTGTACATTACTACGATGATTGTATTAATTTTGAGTAAATATTTTCATCTCAAATTCTTTTTTAGCACAAATAATTTTTTTAAAGAAGAGTGGTATGTTTTTGCTAGCAGAAAAGTTTTATAGGACGCATCATTTTAGTCAAATATTATTCGTTATATTGATATTTTATAAAGTAATTCGTAATATTAAAGTTTTCCACAATGATAGAACAAGTCTGAAATCCATACAGACACTTGATTAGTGAATCGTTATACTATTCATCTTCAGATAGTAATGTTTGACACAGTCAAATTTCAACAAAGGTTCATTACGCATTCTCTATGAGATACTATAATCAAAAAAGAAACATGAAAAAGACACACTGGTACCATATTTATCTCTGTTTTTCCATATTGGTAATTTTATTTTATGAAATTTACTGTTTGAAATCGATCCTCGAATGTTGTTAGCAGTTTTACTCAAGATTAATAAAATAACCATCGCATTGTACTACATTTATGTATCTTAAAGTATCTTTTTTTTTCAGATGATAACTTCGATCTACCTCTATAAAGTTTCGATAAATGACCTATACATAGGTTAATCATAAATATTATCGATTTATTAAGAGACGTCAAAATTTCTGAATTACTCTTTAGGCTCGATTATATTTCTTTCATACCTTTGTAATTGTATTAAGACAATTTGGAAGTACTTGACTATCTTTAATAAGTGTTGGTAAACAAGATACTTGACTATGAATAATTAAACATAAAATACGAAAGACTTTCATAATATGAGCAACTTTTTCTTGCTCTTCATGTGAGTGTAATTCACTACTAACACCACTACTGGAATGACGATTACATTGTTTTAAGCCTTGTGTATTTAGATGTTCGATCAGAATCTTAAAAAAAAGAAAATTTTATTTTACTATTTATGAGTTTTAATTTATTAACTTTGGATTGTTCTTTTCCTGTATCATTAAATTGTTTAATTAATAGAAGAGCATTTGGTGATTCTGTTTGAAAATAATAATCAATTAATTGATTAAGTGATTGCTGATTTGTTTGTTGACATTCACGTAATAGAGATTCAAGTAAACTTTGTCTTGTTGCCACAGAGTCTCGTGTATTATCTAAGACCGTAAACATCTGGAAAAAAAAGAAAAGATAACAAAAACTAGTACAGATGTGCCTATTCCCAACAATAATATTTGTATTGATATAAGAGGGTTTTACAAGTGTACAAATATTACAAAACAACATGTTTCTAGCACTGATTACCCTATTGATAGCTATACCATTCTCATCCACTGGTAAAATTGATCATTGGTCAGTCGGTAATCTTATTATTACTGATCCAACAACACAATTTCGGCTTGATATTTATTCTCCAACAACACCTGGTTCTTATCCAGTTCTTGTTTTTTTAACTGGTCTAGCAGGTATAGTACCTGCACCATTTTATCACAAATTAGTATCAACAATTGCTGAGCAAAATGTTATTCTTATTGGAATTTCAAAGATCGAAAATATCAAACCAGAAAAAGTCGCTGTTCATATAGCTGAATTTTTTGAATGGGTTGTGAAACCAGATGATGGTGCTAGTCGTCTTTTTGCTGAACATAAAAAAGTCAAAGGTGTTATACCAAATACGGAACTTCTTGGTTTCCTATCACACTCATCAGCAGCTCATCCACTGGGTCAATATCTCAATACAACATGTGGTCCAGTAAAATTAATTATTATGATGAATCCTGTTGATGGCATTGATCCATTCGGTTTTGTACAAGACTTTGTTACACGTATAAAAAAAGAAAAACAAATAATATCATTTTATTTTGTCTTATTTTATATTAAGATCCTCCAACTCCTCTTCCATTTCGAACACCAGCTCTGATAATTAGTAATGGTCTAGGTAAAAACTGACACTTAATTTTCGTACACTTTGTAGATTTCATCTGATCTTAGATAATATCCCTGCTTTTAAGGAGGGTCCACCCTGTGCACCAAATAATATCAGCAATGATCGATGGTATCGTTCATTATATGGACCGACATTTCTTGTCAATTTAACAAATTATGGCCATGCCGATAATCTAGATGAACCATTTCACGAGGCTAGTAAACTTATGTGTGAACCGTGCAAGGGTACTATCTGTGATTTTCTCCAATACAAAACTGATGAAGCAACATTAATAACATCGTTTGTTTATGCAATATTCAATCGAGATATTCAACAATTAAAGATTATTGAAAATCCACAATCTTTTCTTCAAAGTCATGTTTCAAACAAATATGATCTGCATGATTATGATTACAAAACTGGAGGACCAGGTGGTTTTTGTACTCATGATTAAAATAATCATTAAAAAAAAATCTCTAACTTTGTCCTATCTTATTTGTCTATTGTATATGTTCCATAAAGGCCATGTTTTTTGTGCCATTCTTCAATACTTCCTTCTGGATAACGAGGATATGTATGAATATTTTTGCCAGTTGGAATTTCTACATGATTAAGTTTAAAATCTGTCATTATATGATAATATTCATCAGGTTTTGGTAATGGTGTATCAATACATGATGCAAATGGATAAATCCATTGTGGATATGCATCATGATAAGCCCAAAGATATGAACCACATTCCGAACAAAAATGTCGTTTATGAGGACTTAATTTTGTACTTGATGATTCATTTTTACCACTTTCAGTTTCAGATAATTTAACTTGATAAATTTTAACAAATTCTTGCCCTTGTTTTAATTTAAATGTTGAATGTTCACCCATAATGTTACAATTAAATACACCAGTTGTTTTCGTATCTGCAAGACAATGACAAATCATATACGGATAAGGAGTATCTAAAAGTAAACAAACGATTAAATCATTTATACTAATAAATACACATACATGAATCGACTGAAAATTTTACACGTTGACAATGACAACTGCCTTCAAGTGTAACAGGTTTTGGTGTTGATGAGCTCATTATAGAAAATTTTATAATTCTATTCTAAAATAGAAACGTACAAACTTGATTTATTGTTCATTTAGTTTAAGAAATCAATAAGGAAAACAAGAACATTCAATACGCATTAGAAGAATTTTTTTCTTGTTTAGACGTACAAGAAAAATAGAATAGATAAAATAATTTTTAAAAAAAGTAATGCAGATAATGGAATGCAAAGAAAAAAAGCAACACATGCAATGATCAATTGAAGGACGGATCAGATAGAATATAATCGACTAGTTTGTATTTGTAATAATAATGATTGTCCATGTGAAACGGAAGCCAAAGAAAAAGAAAACGATTTAGACATTTTACTTAGAAGATTTTTTCACACTTGATGCTCTCTAGAAAATGAAAAATATATTTATATTTTTTATATTTAATTATTTCATACGATCATCTGTGATCTATTTATTGATGTTGAATCAAAACGAGAAGTTATATTCATTGATATATTATCTTGTTGAATTGGATAAAGTCTTGACACTACTGATGATGAACTATCATAATATAGAGATGAATCATCTGGTCTTCGTTCGTTTATTGATAAATGAAATGTACGTGATGATATTGAAGTTGTTTTCTCAGTCATTTCACTAGGATTTTGCTTACCAAATACCATCATTACTCGTTGTCTTTGATGTTGTTGTTGTTCGGCAATACGTTTTAGATTCTATTGATTCAAAACATACATTTTGTTTTAGTGTTTTTTTTTTTGTTTTTTTTCCTTACTGATGTTTGCATAGGTGGTTGAATAGATCGTATATCAAGAACCGTTCGATTTTGTAGAACATTTGTTGTTGTTGTTTTTGGTCGAGTTGATGGTCGAGGTGTGCCAAGTAATCGTTCATTTACTTGCGAATAAAAAATTAATATTTTGTTGGTTTTTCATTTTATTACAACTTACAATGAGCAGAAACTCGATTCGTAACGAATGCATTTGTTGATTGTCGTCCATCTTCATTTGAATTCAGTATGTTTGTTCGACTCATATCAATATCAGTATCATTATCAGTTGTTAATTGACCAGCTGTATCCTATTTTAATAAGAATATAATTGATTGTTTTCTTCTAAAATGTATAAAATTAAAATTCATACATCCTCAACACGTGAAGATGACGCTAATATTGGATAAGTTGTTGATAAAACATTTGTATTTGCTCCTGATTCACGTTCAAGACCTTAACACAAAAAAGAAAATAAGATTAGTAAAAATAAAATTTTCATTTTTATCGTGTTTGTGTTGACAAATTTAAAAAACTCTCAGATTATATTTTATCCTACAAAACGAATTTAATTTTTATAAATTAAACGCAAACAGTTATAAAAATAGAAACAGTAGTAGTAGATATCAGTTTATAAACAAATTACGAAAATATCTATGCACACCCCCTGTATGTTGTTTTGGAAATAATGCTGAAATATATGAAAATTTAAAAAATTCTAATTCTAATCATTAAATACTTACAATTAAGTCTTCGGAGTAAATAAGTAGCTGTAAAAACATCGCGAGATTCACTCGTCAATGTAGGTTCATTAACCTCTGTTGTTTGGCATGATGGACCAGAAGAATAACCAACTGGAAGGTCTGAAAATGATGATTATTCAAATATGATTGATAAGAAAAAAAAACTTTGTGAAAGTCATTCTTTTCTTTTGTCTTTATTTCATTATTGATAAACTTAAATCGTCATAACGTTGAAATAAATAATCTTCATGTCAAAATAAAGAGGCGCCACATACATTGTTATTTATATGTATTCTCTTCTGGAATCTAACGGCCTCATTCTTAATTTTTATTTTCATCGATGTTTTTTTTTCTTATAAACTATTATAAATATAATATTATAGAATATAATTCGAAATACCTTCTTCAGGTAAATTCTCTGATGATGATGGCTGTCTTGGAAAAAAAGTAGATGTTATTAGGATATCATCATCTAAAGTTTGTAATTGCTGCTGTATTTGTTGTTTTTCACGATCATCAGATGGCACATCACGAGTTAAAAGTTTATAATATTCAGCCTAGAAGAAGAAGAAGAAGAAGAAGTAGCAAAAAAGTCACACACAGATATTGAGTTAGAAGAGAAGAAAAAATAAGAAACTCAGAATATTATGTATAACCCACCGGCTTCGTAATCAGTACTGAACATCTGTGTTTAAATATGATGAAGAAAACCAAAATAAAAAATTTTTAAGTCAATAAATACCTGAGATCGTCGTGCCTTTTCTTCAGCTGTTGTTATACGACCATTTGTCATTTGTGTTGTTGATGTTGACCATCGATTCGAACGATTACTTAAACTATTTGAACTTTCATATCGACCTGGATCATTATTGGTATCTTTTAATCGACGTGCTGATGTTAATGATATTGGTTTAGTCATATCATTACTCTACGTATTATTTTAAGAAAAAGTAATGAAATATTAATTAAACAATTAAAACAAAACAAATAATTAAAAAGCAAAAAAGAAGAAGAAAAAAAAAGAGCAGCATATTATTAAATTAAATCAGTATGAATCAGAGATGTTGATACTGACTGTTTTTTTGACCCGATTCATTCGAGACTGAACTCGGCTGACCTTCCATGTGAAATGATATTTTTCTTCGACTCACGAATCAGAATAAATTTGTTAATTCTCTTTATTCACACATTCGTTTTTCAATTATTTGTGAAACTAACACGAGAAGTAGCAGAAGTAATCATTCAACAAGCCTAGTTTTGTATGAGTATGTGGTGTCATCTACGAGAAGACCTACACTCACAACCAGAGCATATTTATATGTGTGCATGCTTCAAAATAAGTAGATGAATAATTAGAACGAAGATGTAGTAAGAACAAATGATAGGAAGAATCTAGGTGATGAAGAACGAAAGAAATGGTAAAAGCAACTAAGCCAGTGGTCGAACGAAGAAATTGCGTAAATAGTGAACGTAATTGTATGCAGAACGAAAGAATCACGTGTGTGAAGCAAAATTCATAAATGGGTCGACTTCGCGAGTACACATTAAAATATAACTGTATTCATGGAAAAATCTAGTCCATGAACGCAATCAACGATCCAATCTACGTAAGGACGAACTCAATGAAAACGGATTAACCTATCAACATCTCTGATGTGAATACAGAAAGAGATAATCCTAAGCAACAATAGCAGAATATGTCTATGCATACCACGAATAAAATATATATTATGCATGTGTTTAAGGTAAGAAAAACCAAAAAAAGAAGAAGAAAAAGGGCAAAACGAAGATCTAATATTCATATCTCTGAGTAGCTATGGCATGCAAGAAGAAAGTACCAGCGGCATTTCAATAGGGGACATTTGTGCCTTTAAACAGGCTAAACATTTGCAAACATGATAAGTCACATGACTACGACGTTTTCTTCCTTGTTGCATACTTTCAAGTTCAGTCTAAAATATTTATTAATTTTGTTTTTTCTTTAGTTAGATAAATTATTTTCTCTTCTCTAGTAGTTTTTTTATTTAGTTAAAAATTTCTTTGTCAATAAAAACATAAAGAAGGCTACTGTGCTAAACTTACCTCTGATAAATTCCAATTATTCGTTGTTAGAACCGAAGTTTCTAACAAGTCCTTGAAAAAATGAAAAAAAAACAAAAAGGACGCACAACATAACTTTTGCTAAGATAAAGTTAGTTTTTTTAAAGATGATGTGAAAGAAAAATAACAGAAAATACTGATTATAAAAAATAGTAAGTTTACAAAAGAATACAAGAACTTACAATAGTTGGAAATTGAGAATGACGAATTTTTGATAAGGATAAGCCAACAGTTTTGTTCTAATCACAAGAACAACATCAAATAAGGCTGATAAGCACAATATTTGATTTTACTTTTTCAAGATTTTCTTTATCTATTTCATCTTTTCTTCTAGTGTCTCTAGTTGGTTTTGTTGGTACCGTTTTTTTTCTTGTTTTTTTCAATTGAGCCTTATGAAAAAAAAAACAAATACAAGAGATATTTACTATATAAACATGATTAGATTAATAAAACTACTTTAGCTGCTGCAATTGCTTCTAAATGCTTTGGCAGACCATCATCCATTGATGAATCTGATCCTACATCATCACTAAAATGTTTGAAGAAATGTATAAAATTTCTATTAGAACTTTTCCTTGTTACCTTGAATCATCATCAGATGAAAATTGATCAAGATCAATATCTGCTAATGATGCTGGATTAACACCACGTGATATAAGTTTCATTTGTATAGAACGTCGTAAATTATCTTCAATTTCAGCTAATATTCGATTTCGCTAAATTAAAAAATAAAAACAGATCAATTTTTGCCTATGATCTATTATAATAGACGATGACTGACGAAACAATATCATAAAAAAGGAGTACGAGAAGAACAGGGAAAAAGCAAGAGAATATACATATATAAATAAATAAATATATATATATATAGCAGAATTACTGGTGGTACAGGGCAAGAAGAATTCATATTTATTTCTTTTTGTTTTGTTGTTAAAACTAATTGTGATTTTGAACGATGCATATTCGGAGCACTGTTAATATTACAAGAAATATTTAATTTATTTGCTGTTCGAACTTTTGAATGTTTATTATCAGTAGATATTGTTAGTTCTTGTTTTATATCAATTCGTGTTTTATTTTTATGCTTTGAATCATCATATGATGTATCAAAATCTTTTAAATCTTCATCTGTTATTAGATTACCATTTAACAATTCATCATGTAAATTTTGACGATATGGTTCCTATTTATTATAAGTTAATTCGAAAAAATTAATGTAGAAATTTTATTTAAAAATAAAAAAAAAATTTATGTCATAGAACTAATAATATTAAACTTACTTTTGTATGATCTGGGTCACAATAATCAAGTAAAGAATCAAGAAAATGATAACCAATTGATTCAAAATCTTTTATTGTAAAATGATGACCAGCTCGATCCTGTTGAGTTGATCCACAAAATGTTGCCTAATAATTTTACGTAGTTATACAAAACTATAAAAAGAACTAATCAAACCTCTAATGTATAACTATTCAAAATACCCATAGCCCACATGACAACTCGTCCTGTACCTTCCTTATGCTTTTGAACTTTAAATTTACATGAATAAAATGAAAACTAAATAAAAAACACACATATATGTCGACTATAAAATCTTATAAGAAAAATAAAATACAAACTTTTGCAGGATCATTTTTGGATAACATTGCTGGAAATATTCTTTCTTTAAATCTTTCATCAGGTAAATGTTTATTTTCACAACCATAAACAAAAACATTTTGTTTTCTCGAATGACCATGAAAATCACAATAAAGGACAAGTTCTGTTTCATTCATAAATCTAAAATTTTCAAATTAAATTAAATCAAAATTATGAATGAATGAATGAATGAAAAATTTTTCTTTTAACCTTTTTATCATTTCTCTTGTATGCCATATAGATGGATAAGCATCTTTAAGTATTGTTTTATAATTTCGATTTAAATCTCGACCTGATAATGAACAACGATAATTTCCAACAATAACACCATCGGGATTAAGCATTGGAACTATTTTAAAAATAAAATTATCTCGAAGTAACTAAGAGAGAAAACAAATGGATAATAAATTTTTTTTGCAGAAATTTTTCATACTTTTGCATCAGCGGAATCACCAAGTAAAAAATCTAATAAACCTTTCATCATCCACGATGCATTTGTTTCACCTGGATGAACACGTGCACTTACAACAACACCTTTTTTTACTTGATTTTCAGGCGATGTACTTGTATTATTTCCATGTACAGTTGCTGGATTTGTTATTGTAAGTAAATAAATAAAATTTCCAGCTAATGTTCGACAAAGAACTTTTTGTTTACAATATTGACTTTTAAAACGGTCGCTTTGAATTTCATTAAGATAATCCTATGAAATAGATTAGATTTAAAGCAAAAAAATGTAAAAATAATATTTTACTTGTAAATCAGAATATGTATATGGATAACAATGAGCAAAGTAATAGGTATCATTATTATTTGTGAATTTACATGTCCAAGTAAGAGAATACATATTACATGAGGAATTGTCAGGCGCACTAAATAATAAATGATGAACGTATTAAAATACAACAAATTATTCATTACGGCAGATTATTTTTATAGTAGACAATTTCTTCACCCCATCGTTGCCAACCAATACCCTTAGTTTCTGCATCAAAAACACTGTACAGCAAAGGTCTCATTCCATAACTATACAAGCTTGTAGGCTAGAAACAATATTTCCTCAATACAGACATTAAAAAGGAATACAAATAATTATACTTTAAAAAAGTTAACAATCGTAAACCGATATCGTCTATCAGCTCGAATATTTTGCATACGAAAATAAAACCATTGTGTGTTACGTTTCGTGTAAAGATCATATCGAAGATAAAGTTCATATTCAAATTCACCTCTATCAAAAGAAAACAAAATTGAAAACTACATTAATTCTTTGAAAGAAACTTCTATTTTTACACTTGAACAGCTTTCATTAAATTTCCACTTTCAAAGCGTGATTCAAATAAAACAGTTGTATCTTCATCATTTCGAAGTGAAATAGCTGCTTGTCGACAACCTTCTCTATTACCACCAATTCGAGATCGAATAAACTATTTTTATAAAATAATTTCAAAATCATATTAAATACATAACTTACATAACCACATGATTCTGGATTATAATTGAAAACAACACGACCATTATTTTCATCACAACTACGTATAAATGGTCCATGATTAGTTGCTAAAATTTATAAAAATGATTAAATATATTGGACGAACTCAAACAAGTAACAAACTTGGTTTATAGAAAGATTCAGCTTGTGTTGGCGAAACACTAATATGTTTAATGCGTGGTTCATTTAATACTTCAACTTCCATAGGCCATCGAGGTTCAAAGGAATAATCATCATTTGGACCACTTCGACAATTTAAACCATATGGTATACGAGCTTGCCGAATAGGCTGATCACATCAAAACAAACAATATATTAAATAAATATTTAATTTAAAACTTACTACTTTTGTATCCGGAACACTGGATCTACTTTTATATTCTAAATTATATTTTATAGATAAATATTAATCTTCTGCATATAACAAAAATTCTTTCTAATTATATCATGCAACTATTAACAAGCTACTAGTTTACCAGTAGGAAAACTTATATGAAGTTGATCAATAGATAAACGATATCCTGTACGACTATACACTGATAAAAGATAAACATCATGCAATATATAGAAAATATCTAAATTTATTCTTAACAAAAGTGTTATAAGAACCCACCAGAAGAATTTTCAAGTACATAGTGTGAATTATAATTTACTGTAAAAATAAAAAAAATTGAACTGTTTTTTCTATCTTTCTTATTAAACAAACGTTTCGAATGATAATTTAAAATAAATTTAAATAAATAACATACTTTCTTGTTCTTCGTCACTACTACTTGATTCCGAATCACTTGATGATGAAATAAGTTGAGATTTTGACGGAAAAAAACCATATTTTTTTATCACTTCTCCTCGACCTTTATATAATATAAAAGAATAATATTTAAAAATTTTTCAACATTCACATTAATCTAACCAGAAAAATAACCATAATGTTGAAGATGTTTTCGCATAAAACTATCATAAGGACTCTTCAAAACCACAAGATAAATTAAGAATTACTATTAAAAAACCTTAAATATCATACCGATATCAGCGAATAATTATATTCGCCTAGTTCCATGATTTCAGTGTATTGATCTACGTAAAAGTCGAGTGTCTTTTTAATATATTGTCAACAGCATCATCAAATGGAGCACTGAAAAAAGAAATAAAAAAGAAAGTTCTCGTTCATGAATATAAACATACAGCTTTAAAAAGACTCAATCAGCAATGCTCGCTTTTGTTAAAAGATGACTTTTATTAAACAAAGAAAATTACTGTTTTTTTGTTAACAGAAAACAAAAAGAAACTGATGTATTCGCCAGGAATTTTTCTCTCCTTTTCTTTTTTTTTCTTTCATCACATTCTCATATTTGTTTTATTGTCAATATTTTCTTTCTTCAAAAACATAATCATTTTGATACAATTGACAGTTTCAATGACAATCTACTTTCTACCTAAAACCTTGTTTCTTTTTAAAGTAGAAAGAAACTTGATTGATAGTAAACGAACAACAATAAATAATTCACATCAAGGTCAAATCTGTTTTTTTTTCACATTATATCATAGAACTTCGGGCTAGAATATGATACTCTTTCCAATTGTTCTTTTTTACGTTTCATTCTTCCTATAGCAACGATCTGGCCAATCAATTGAATTTATGATTATGTTTTACAACAAAATTAGCGACATCCTTTATTTGTTTCTATTGTCGGTTCAGAATTACGAAAATAAATTTTAAGTAGAATTTGAAATTAATTAAAAGAAAACATCAAAATACAAGTCACATATTGACATGCGTTGATTCAAGCAACAAGAAAAAATGAAATTACGTTCGATGAACCAGTTTCGAGTAGATTGTTGTTGAAACGGAAAAGAAGAAAAAAATTCGATATTATATTACCGAATTGGTATCTTCAAAAAATCTTAGATCAACTCTATTTGTGATGACATAAAATATAATGAATAAGCAAATCCTTAATGATGCAGATATAATCAATCGCAGAAAATGGTTGTTAAAATCTTTTTTATGTTGGTTGCAGAATGTTGATCATGACAAATGGACAGATGAAACAGTATCTTATATTGAAACTACTTAACCTAATCACAAGGAATATGAATTTCGTTAGGTTAAATAACATTTAAAAAAATCTTATGCAAAACTTCGATGCAAATAATAATTGAATGTTAAAATTGTTTTGAGTAAAAATGCGAATGGCTGTGAATGAAACCAAGGAGAACTAGCAATTAATTTGATAGTAAACAGCCATTAGTAAAGCATGAATGAAATCAATCTTGCATTCTTCATTAGTAGTCCGAGTAATAAAACGAAGAAATATTAACACTTCATGTCATTTATATGCATTAGCTATAATGTACATTTGTATAACTTCATTATGAATCATTTTTATTTTTCTTCCAATGCTTGATCAACTAATAAATGAATGTAATGTATGCAGTCTTAGTCATTTCAGCTTCAATTTTAATATTTAATCCTTTTTTTATCGTGCAAATTTCACCTTTGAAAAATTCAACAATGTTAAACAAACTCATACTGTTTATAGCCTATATTGAACAAAGTTTATAATTAATTGCCTTTTAATTATGTAAATTAACCTTATATTATAAAGAAGTTTTACTCAAATTTAATAGTCATTGAACTAATTTGTCAAGTAAAAGTACTTGAAAAAGATCAACTCAATAATCATTAAATGAATTTTTTTATTTTTGTTTGAATAAACTTGATAAATTATAAATGATAACTTTGCAATGAAACTAATTGAGATATTTTTTTAACATAGGTATTCGATAAGAAAAAAAGTCACCATTTCTTTTTATAAACAAAAATGAAATAGACTGTTTTCCACATGAATGCACACGATGTGGCTTTTTGATATGTTGTTGCTTACCTGAAAAACAGCGGACTACACTCAGATTAATCGCTATACATATACACGTTGTCGACGAGAATACAATAAATTACACTAATAGTTAATTGAAACATGTCATCGAGTGAAGAAGCAAAAGATCCAGCAAAAACTTCAATTATAAATTATGTCGAAAACTTTATTGACAAACGCAATAATGATTTACGTACAACCATGGACGATGATGATAATGTTCCATTGACACAAGGAATCGATCGAGATTCAATTGTTATTAAAACTAGTGTAGATGATTTTGCGCGTCAAAATTTAGTAAGCTTTTTCTGAGATCAAATATTTATTTATTCGAAGATTTTAATTGAATTTATTATTTCTTAACTATTTCCTAGGGTAGAGCTTCATCAGAATTGACTGACATTGATGCTGATGAACTTAATCTTGATTCAGATCCGATTGTTGAAACACACGAAGCTGATCAACAAGTCTATAAACAACAAGTTTATTTACGTCAATATCAACCACCGACACCTGAACCTATTGAGATTCAAATTCAAGAAGTAGTTGTTAAACCTATACCACAACGTCCACCAATTCATGTATATGTTGGACCTACTTCAGATAGAGATGCACAACGTACTCCATCACCTATTCTCATCAAAAGTGCTCCACCACAACCAGAACCTTCTTCAAGCGAACCGATTGTCTATAATAAATATGTTCCAGTTGATTATAAACCACCACCTCAACAAGTATAAAATAAATTAATCATAAAAAAATTAAGTTTTTGTTTTCGTCTACTAGATCATTATTCATCGTTATCCCGAAATGCCACCGAAACCTCGTAAGCTTCTATGATCTGTATTCTTTACTAATAATTCTCTTTTTTTTTTATTTTCATATTAAAAGGACCTATTGTTATTGAACAATGGCTTCCGAATAAACCCGCACCAAAACGTGTAACCTATCGCTCGATCAATCGTGATGAGTTTCTTCGAAGTGAGACTGAACGACAACATAATCGTTTTATTGAATATACAAAACCACATACAACAGTTGAACTTGAAATTGTTCGTTTACCAGTAATTAAATTAAAACCAGAAGAATATCTAAATCAAGCAGTGGAACTTGCACAAGTTGATAATATTCGTTTACTAGCAAACGATCCAAATATACTTCAATGGCGCATTTAAACTCTAATGAACTTAACTAGAACACACCGGCATTTTCTTTTTTTTTTATTTTTCGTCTATTCATTTAAAATAATAAAACAAAACGTCTACTAAAGAATCATTAAAATCTTTATCATGTTATCAATATTGCTATTAAGTCGTACTTGATTTGTCATCATAAAATATTGATCAGAAAGAATAAAAAGAACGCGATTATTGATATATATATAAATGTGTCTGTAAATAGTGATCAAATATTTTTCAAGTGACTTGAATTACAGCTACAAATCGACACAATGTGTGTCACGATTAATCGAGCACAAAAATTTTGAACTGTGATCGATTAGAAAATGTTTAAACAATGAAGAATAGCGGCGCGTCAATTGATAGAGACATGTTGTAGACAGTCTGATAAATATCCTAAAGCATTTTTGTTCTTATCTACCTTCAATTTATGTACACAATACATTGTTAAATATTTCAAATAGCGGTAAATATACGTTTCTCTTTTAGAACAGATATGACAATGTATCAAAAATTTTAAAAAAAGTATATCTAATCATATTTGTCCTTGAATATCAAGGATTCTTATCGAATATAATCGTCAATCTAATAAGTGTGCCATGTCGAAGGCGAACAGAGGCTAAATACATTTGCTTGATGAACACAAATAAATGAACGCACACGCACATGAACATCTGTTATCAATATCGTCTTTCCCTTTGCTTTTCGTTGGATAAACTATTTATTGTATATGAAAGAAAATCCAATCAAGTGATATAGATCGAGATCAATCTTATATATTGTGATGCAATGGAACAATTTTTCTCTGTACTATTTACACTCGATTTGACTTTCACATATATGATTAGCCAAGATCGAAGACAATCTGTAATTTTCACTGTTGAATTGTTCCATTCTTTAATTTTAGTGACAATGACAATTTGATTTAGTTTTGTCGCCTGGGAATTTTTATTCAACTCTTTGTAGTTTGTAGCGTTAAAAAAAATAAAACAAAAGTGTTTAATCTTATTCATACGATCACACCTATATTGATTTTTGATTCATTAGCAGACAAAATATAATTTTCAATGGACTCAACTTTTTTTTCGTGTTTCTGTCATTTTAAGAGAAGAGAAGAGAAAAAAGGACGTGCAATTTGAATTTGATGTGAAGGACAAGAGGTAAAAGAAACTGAACGTGTTTTATCGACTAATCTTGATGTTTGCATATGCACTCAAAAAATATCGATACTACACTAACATCATCTCTAATTTTTTTTTCTTCTCTTCTCTCGTTCTTGTTGGTAGGCGGGTGTATACTTATATACCATATCAATAGTATCATTCTACTGTTCATTCAAAGAATAATATAACAAAAAAAAAAAGAAAGTTTGGTTTTTTTTATTATTATCGTTTATGTTATTTATTAATCAGGTAAGAGAAAAAAAGAAAAAAAATTTAATATTTAAAAGAAAGTTAATTTTATCCAAAGAAACGATCGTTTTCATTTGTCTTTCCTTCGTTTGCTCTTTTTTTTTTAACCTCTTTTGTATATACATTAATTTAATCTCTTTTATTGAGAATAAGTTTGTTACCATTGACCTCTTTTTCATGCCGATGGAAAATAAAATGATGATCTTATAAGACAATACTTCACCTTGATAGTTAGCATTCGTTTATATATCATTATCTCTTTTTTTCACGACACTTCTCTTGTATTCTTATTTCAAAAGATGAATATTCTTCTATCATCATCATCATCATCATCTTCTCATTGATGTGCAACATGAGCCTTTCGAAGGTCATCATCCCTTGAGTGTAGATATATAGGTATACATATATGTATATAAATACATGTATGTATTTATATTTAACTATATTGTATAATAACATTCTTCCTTTTCTTGAGACTTTGCATTAACATACGAGAGATTTCCGTTAACCTTCAGGTTCAATTCATGTATAATATGTATATATACATGTTGTACTTGTATTTACGCACCCGTCATAGAAGTAAGTGAAGATGAGCCCTTGGTTCGATCAGGATAGAAAACGAAGAGTCTCACACTCAAGTGAAGAGAAAGAGAAAGAGTGATTTAACATGAAATTGACATTCGCCTTTCAAGGTTCAATTTAGTCTAAGCTCTACCTAAGTGTATACGTGTGTGTGTGTGCGAGTGTGTATGGAACAAACTAATCAAAGAAGAAAAAATAGAGTGAGCGTGTGTAATGACATGTTTCTGCGATGGTATGTTAAATGATACATATAATTTTTGTGTCTCGTCATGCTGCCATCATATACTTCTCTAAGTTACTGTTAATAAAAAGAAACAAAAATAAATACATGAGATTCTTCATTGCTTATTCAGGTAAGAATTGATGATTAAGACAAGAAAATCTTCGTATGAAATTATTTGTTCACTTATAGAAAATGAATAATTTAAAAAGTAAATGAGATATTGAAAATGAAGAGTTGATTGAAAAAAAAAACACCGTAAATCTCACTTGTCTTTGTCAATATAACTAATATATCTTTCTCTCCTTCACTTTATTTGTTTTATTTGTTGAATGTACTTCTTGAGATTGTTTAATCAAATATTAATTACACACTCTCTCTCTTTCTTTCTCTGTATATTCTCTTCACTTGACGTCATCTATTCATACATATCATAGGAATTTGACAATTCGACACCAGACTCTCATATCTTTTCAAATAGACCAATTCTCATTCCTGTTCAATTGCTTTCGACCCACAAAAAAAAAAGAAAAACACTTGACTATACAATCTATTGACAAATAGATTGCATCAGTCGACCTAATTTGATTAGAATAGACGACAATGATAATCGTGACATTCTTTTGTCTTAACGTCGAGACAAAAAAATAGAAAAAAACAATAAGCAACGTTAGAAAAAGAAACCAAGGATGACTTTCGAACCTCATCCGACAAAAGGTAAGGATTAGTCTTTTATGAATCCTTGATTGTCTCAATGTATTCAATTATATGTTGACATTATATATGTGTGCAAAATAGTAGTTTATAATGAACTGTTCTATTCTGTAAATGAGATGATAGATTTAACGGATTCAGAGATTTTTTTGTTTTGAATTGAACATGAAAATAACCATCATTATGTTCAACGACAATTACGGTCATTATTTCTACTTATAAATTCATCCAAAACAAGAGAATGTATGTATTTAAAGACTAGAAGAATCATTTAAGAGTATATTTATGTTTGGTTGACGACAAAAGGATAGCCAAAGGTCTGTCGCTTCACAAGGCTATTTGTGTGTCTATTGAGTATGCCCTTTAGTTGGATATTGAGACGCAATCGAAACAGAGAGAGTGAGTGAGAGAAGTGTGAATTTGAGACGAGACGATGATTTAAGGACAAATCAATAGATGAAAAACGTTTGATCTCTTCTAGGATGAATAAAATTCTTGTAGAGAGAAAAGGTAAATGAATAAGAATCGACATTGACCACTCATCATCATAAAACTTTTTTTTTACTCTTGATCACACTATGTTATTGAATGATCTATCGTATTGTTAATATGCATGTGACAAACATACAACACATTGGCGTGAGATGTCCTGATGAGTAAGCTTTAGTGAGTTAATTGTTTTCTTTCTATTTGAGCGTATGCGTGTGCAATGCTCATCTACATATACACATATAGAAAGATAGATAGATCGTAGATCAAAGGCAGTGGTAGTGTCTCGAGAGTAGTGTACAATAGTATTAGTATTATTATGATTATTTTTATTATCATTCTTGTGTAACCTAAGCAGCAGTTGTTTGACTATAACAGGTGATATGATAAATAATGATTTCTTTTTCTGTCTCTCATTAGAAAGTCTTCGATGACATATACATAGCAACTTCTACTGACATCTTATCAGTACGTGTTTTCGTCCATCATTTATCATCATCATCTTATTTGAACACTCCTCCTTCTATTGAAGAGTATGTATGAGACATACGAGCATGTGCTAGAAGAAGAGAAATCAGGCATGTTGTTGCTTGTCTGATAACAGTTATCATCTATCCCGCAGGAGAAGAAGAAGAAGAAGAAAAAGAAGAAGAAGGTAATGTAGTAGTCTAGTCATGTTCACATTCTCATACTCTTTTATTTTATTTTCTTTTATACGAAAATATTTCGAAGATAAAGTTAATAGAAAAAGAAGAATACTAAGAAAAAAATCTTCGTAAGATTTCTCCTTATTCTTTTTTATGAGATGAGTAAAATCATCATTTGATGAGGAAAAAAAAATAAGTAGATTTGAATTGATCAATTTAGACATGTTTAAGTGGCATATATATTTTTTTTTCATTTGATTTTCGTTATCTACCGATTCTCAATTGCCTTTTCTTTTATTATAGAATATCAAAATAAGACACATATGAAGCCTATTTCGATTGTATAGTATGACAAATTGCAAGAAGCTTATTCTTCTATACTAACCTGTTATTTCATACATACATATACATACATATATATATTCAAGTTATTCATTCATTGTTGTCGGTATACCTTAATGGGTTGTTTAAATTCATTATTTTATTTTCTCTTATATAATACGTTCATTCGTTCCGGGCTGTATTTCGTACATATCTACACATATATGTATTCATATGTGTAGATTCAGTACTGTAATGAGACCACTGGCTATTGTATTATTTTTTTCATGTTGTATTCACGCGCGCGCGCGCGCTCAACACTATTCTGTATGAGAAAGGGAGAGGGAAGAATAATACTCATAAGTTCCGTTCCGGTTATACAACATCGAGTACTATTGTTATTCAGTGGCTAGTAGTTATAAGTTGAGGATATCAATCAACAATAAAATGTTAGTTGTAGTTCTACCTGTCGTCCAATTCGAGTAGGCAATCAGAGCAAATACGCTTGATTACATGTGTCAGCAAGCACTACTGTTACGTCGATATCTTATGTATATGTGTGTTTATTTATGGACATTGTTCAAAATCAGTGAATATGAATATACGATAGGCAAGAACCTTCAACTATTCTACTGTTGCAACATAAAATATGCATGACCTCTACTATTGTTCTTGAAATCTTTCTCTTCCGCTTGATGCAACAGTTTCTTTTTGAATTGACCGTTTGTTCCGCTCATTTCTCCTTCTGTTTCTTTTTTTTTTTGACTTCATTGAACATGAACGAGTTGAAGTTGCAATGTCCTTCTTTGGACAAACATTATCAAAACGGAAGAATTCTAAAGAATAAGTTGCATAAGTTATACATTTCGCTGAATCATCATCCTTCGAGTTTTTATTGAGTCATTTAACATATCAAGCGATTTTCGTTTTCACTTGTTCTTTACCGGTAACGATTATTTTTTTTTTAATGTTTGCTTGCGCTTACAGCTAGTTCGTGTTTACTTATATATATAAATGGGTATATATATGATTATATTGACAAGCTGATGCAGAAACTGACAGAGTAAGATGTAGGCGTTTAAACAAAAAAAAAAGAAGAAAGATTCATTAAATTTTAGTCATTCATTATCTAACTTAATGCTATAATCTTTTTACAAAGTGTACCTTACAAACATGCATAGGTGTGTATCTGAATTTGAAAAGCGTTATGATTCAGCTGAGTTTTTTTCTACGTACGTATGTAAGTTTTCTTTTTTTTTGGATATTTATTTTGCTGTGATTCTCAATAAAAGACCCTCTTGTTATGTTGTTTGTTACTCGTATTATGATATACATGTAAAGGTATATCGATCGTTGTTTTTCATGTAAGTGTATGCAAAGAATATTTATAAGGAGCCATATATGTTGAACGACGATGAATACTAAATGAAGTGGTACTAGTTATAGGTTAGTGCCTGACCAATTTCGATTTAACACATCGATTTGTTTTGTTGTTGATTGTGTAATGAATATATGAATAGGCGTCGTCTCATATCCATCTTTTCGATTTGTATATTGCCAAGTGGGTGCAAGAATTCGTTTTCATTTTTTTTTCCTTCTTAGTTTTTTTTTTCAATTTTGAAGAGCATGACGCGTCGAGAATAACAACATAATAACAATATAGGATCGATTGCATGATCGATAGAAATGAAAGAAGATGAGAATTATAAAAGTATTATTCAAAACGTGACCTGTTCAAAAAAAGAAATAAAGACATCATTGCATAAAGAACCTATGATCAGATTTCGTTTAAATGTTTTTTTCCTATTGTCGTTTGTCTTGATACATGTGTCCTTGTTCTATTTATCGATACATCCTTTTCTTTCTTTCATTCTTAGTCTATATATAAATATATATATATGTATATATCGAGGGATTTCATTGTTGTCTAGTCTAATGACCCCCGAAAATATATTTTTTCTTCTTTTCAGATACATAAACGATATTTTCTCTAAATGCACTATGCACATGAGCCAAAGTAGCAATAGTTCAATGGTTTACCAAATATTTTCATTAATTTTTATATTTATTCTCATTATTGATAATGTTCATACTGCATCAAGTCTGTATTAAACACGTATTTTAAATTAAACATTAGTTTTTTTTTTTTGATATTTCATAGTAGCAAAACGTGGTAATGAAGTATTTCAATTATTAAAAGAAACAAAAGAAAAAGTAAAACATGGAACACGTATGTTTAATTACTGATTTTAAAACAAAAAAAAAAGCAAGACTATTAATTTTAGAATGTCTTTCACCATCGAAATATTTTGCTGGTTCATGTTATACATATATGAATATGTTACTAGCAACATCATGGGAAAGAGCATATAATAATTGTTTAATAATACCGACGGCAAAAGATGCTCGTTTATTAGTTATTGATTCAATAGCTGAATATGAATTTGTTGAACGTGAACTTATTGGACCAAAATCAGGATCGGATAGTGTTTCAGTTTATATTGGATTACGTAAAGTCAATGGTAAACAGTAAAAAAGCAAATTAATGTTTTAATTTTTTCGAAAAAATCGTTTTTTCAGATACATGGCTTTGGTCTAATGATATGCCATTGAAAGAAACTCCTGTTTATCGATTTTGGGTTGATAATAATAAAGATATTCTTGCTTATGATTGTGGTGTTATTTGGCTTGCTCGAAATACTAGTGTATTGACAGCGGCTGCATGTGCCGAACAAGCTTTACGACCTTATGTTTGTAAACATAGTAAGTCTTATATTTTGTTAAAATATGAAAATAAGAAAAACCTAATAATAATTTATTATTTCTTATGTTTATTTTAGCAATTGATCGTTGTTATAATAATAGTGGTGGATGTGGTAAATATGGTACATGTTTGAATTTACCATTAATTAATTCATATAGATGTCAATGTCGATTTTTATATGCAGGTGATCGATGTGAAAAATGTAAGATTATCTAGAAAAATATAATAGGTTTTTTTCGTTTATATATATTTAATTTTTTTTTTGATCAAAGGGAGTAGTCAAGGTTTACAAGCAATTATTGGTGGTATTATTATACTAATTGCATTTATTGGTTCGTATATTATTAATTTGGATCGATCAGGTGATCAATGGTCATTTCGAAAATCAACTGTTGAACATTATCAAACGTAGGTTTATTGTTAAATCACTTTATATAATCTCAGTATAAATGAATTTTAAATGAAATGAAATAGACTAATATAAGAATTAATCTAACGAGGAAACCTTTCGCAATGATGAATCGCTTTTGAGTTTGGACTCTATGCATAAAGTAGACTTCAGTGGAGTATGAAAAACTTCGGAAGGTCTAAATATACTTAGACCTTCACTCTCTTGAGTTATAGCCATTTTACTAGAATTTTAGCATACGACACACTCTATTCTGACGACTCCGTTGACAATATTTCAGCCTGCAATTTTGCACGCCGATAGTGCCACGTATAATTAGAATGTTTCTGTCACGCGATTTTGAATTTCCAAAAATCTCTCATATCCTACATAAGATGCTAAACTCAAAAATGGTTAAGCAATGAGAAGATTTTCATCATTACTATATTTCGATTATTTAACTCTTTTTTTTCCAATTTTCTTATATCATAGTACTTCAGTCTATGGTCAAAGTCGTCCAACATCTTATATGCCACGATCACCAAATGCTACTGATCAAGTAATTCTCAATCCATGTTTACCTATTCATCCTGATTTTATTGATATTTCAAATGAAAAACATTGTCGACATATATCATCCTCATCATCATCAAGTCCACCGCCTATCCCTCCACCAATTGAACGTAAACATCGTTATTCATTTCGTCTTAGTATTCAAGAACTTGAAGTTACATCCCACATACATAATTTATTTATGAAACCAAAACGATTAATTTTAATTATTTTACCAATAGCATTAACAATATCAATAAGTGTTATTATTGTTCATGCAAGACGTTATATTAAAGATAATATTCTTCATGCATCATATAGTAATTCAACACGATTATTTCAATTTTGTACATTATATGATAATAACTACTATGTTAATTTAGTAACATTACCTATTGCTGTTGTTATTATTATATTAATTATATGTAATGAAACACGAACAAATTATTGTCAATTAAATAAGAAGAAATTTTCTGAAAAATTTTCTATTTACACTCCAATACCATTTAATCCATTCTCAAAAGTAAATCGTTTCGATACCATGGTTTTAAGTGGTATTGTTAGTCATGAAATTCTTCAAATTATTGAAGAAATATTTCTCAAAGCAACACAAATGAAAGTATTAACTATGCGTGGTCCTTTATTTGATCTTATTCGACAAATAGGTCTTGTTATAATTATTGGTATGCGTTATTATCCTGTATATACTGTTATTGAAATGTCAAATGCAAATATTCTTTATTATACATTATGTGCTTTATATATGTGGATTGATTTAATATTTCGAATAGTTGAACAATCATATTGTGTTGATATTGGACCATTAATTAAAACTTGGCATAGAATACAAGAATTTAAAAATGAAATCACATCAAAATTAGCAACAAGTTCTTTGATAACAACAACAATGATAACGCATTCGGAACATGAAGATTCACTTTCCGGAGGAGGAGGAGGAGGTTTGAAAGGAAATTTTCAAAAATTTCGAGATCGAATACCAATAAGAAGATTACGAACATCATCCATAACAAATCTTCCAGCTATTCAGGTAAAAGAAATATAATTTGTTACTCGAGAAAAACAAAATCTTCAAATATTTGAAATGAACGAAACGTATAAAGCAGAGAATGTTATTATAGTATTTTTCAAAGGCATTTTTCATTGTCATTATCATTTCATTTCTTTCCCTTATGATTAACTATGTTAAGATTTGAAAAAAAGATTAATCTCCTACATAGCAGACTTTTTAACACTGAGGTTTTTCAACTATTACCCAATGAGAACAAGTATTGTAAGAGAATATGTATACATTAACAATCAGATTACATGTTGTAAAACTCAAAACATGATAAGACAATAAACAAAAACAGAACATATATGATTCGAATCAACTGTTCTTTTTTCACTTGTTCGTTTTTCTAATCCAATTTCTGCTGAACATAGAAACTTGTTTTAACGAAAGTAGTTTATTTTGAAAGTTTCAAGTCTTTTGATTTACTCATATCTCAAAATAGGAACATCAGATCTGCTGGTGCCTATGAGCGATGCAAAAGATACATTTGAACTATAGTTGTATCTTAGTATAGGAATATCGAAAAGATTTGCAAGTTTCATAATAAAGTATTCGTATTAAGATCTGTCTCTGAACAAAATTTGAAGTTAAAATTTAAAAATAAATTTCCCAGATGTTTTGTGGAAGTTCATGGCATTCTAATAAAGAACACAATAAAAATATAATATCTCCGCAGCTATAGACTAGAAGTTCGAACTCTTTTCAAGGTATTCATCACTTATAAGAATATATCTGATGCAAAAATGATGCATCAATTGAAGAATTCTTCTCATAAGCTAAATTTTAATAACTAAAATCTATAATTTTAGTCGAATTCAATGAATATGAATCCTATTCATTCATTAAATTGGTCATCAATATATTTAAATTTTTCTTCAATTGATCGAAATGAATCTCAATCAACATTTGATCAATTTAATATTGATTCATCCATTATTGGTGTACTTAAATATACTCCTTATTATTTATGTTTAACATATATATGTTTGCGTTTAACATATCTATCTATATCAAAATTCTATAATTTATTCTATTGTTGTAATAGAGAAATGAATAATTCTCAAAAACAATCATTAAAACATATATATCATGAACCAGATATAAATTCTTCTCAAAAATTATCAGTTGAATATCGTTATGTTCGTCATTTATTTCAAAAAACAAGACGTATATTAATAGAAAATAATAAAAAAATTTCCTTTATTAAATCATTACTTTATAAAATTTATCGTCCAAATAAATATTTCAATTATTCAAAACAAATATTAAATATGTATATGATTGCATTTATGTTAACTTATTATTTAACATTTAATATTTTACAAGGTGGTTTTTATATAATTGAAAAAATTTATAGTATTTTTTCAATACCATTAATTGTTTTAACGGATGAAATTGATTTACCACAACCAAAACCATTTAATCTTAAATATGAAATAATAATAGCTTGTTTTTTAACAGCTATTATTTATTATGGACAATTATTATGGGGAATGAAAAGTTATCAAAAACATATGCTTGATGTTTATAAAGGTAAATGAATATTAATTTTTTTAATCGGAAAGAAGAAAACAATGAATTTTTGTTTCGTTTTTTGTTTTCGAATAGGAAATTTTATTGATATTCCTCCACGAACAGCATTTAAAAGTGCTCGACTTATATCACAACATGCACATTATCCTGGATATTGTCTTGCTTATCTTGGTTTTGGTTATATAACAATGGGAAATATACTTTTTGTTATTATTATTATTTTTCGTGTTATATTTAAAAATTTATTTCTTGTTGAACAAATTGCTAAAGTTGTTATACCGATATTAGTGATTTATTTATCAAAATGTATATTAATATGGTTTCTATCAAAAACTTTCTTTCTACAAAGGTAAGTCACTTGCAAGATTTATATGTCATAGGAAATATTAATAGATTAAAGGAAAAACTAAGATATAATATGATTCAATTGATAAAGAATATTATTTGATTTATGATACATTGAAGAAATGGATAATATAACTTTCTGGTTTGAAATTTTTATAGAGTTCAACGATTTTATGAGTTATTTCCAGTTAAATTACAGTGTTGAAATCTTTAAGTAACAGTCGCTTGACATAGAAGTAATAAAAACTAGTCATGTGTAGGATAATGTTTTTTCGCATTGGATATCTTGATTGAAAAAAATTTCCTAAATTGTATTTTGTTCTGCAGAACTCGAGAGGGAGAGGAACACCAGACGTCAATACTGCTTGATACAGGGTGTCTCATAAGTTGTGGCAGATTTTTTTAAATCTAATTTTTGATGATAATGAATACAAATCAAACTCAAACTTACACGTATCATACAACTTAACATGTACTTTTATTTCATATATTTTATTTGAATTTAATCATTGGATATACAAAAAAATAAAGAAATTGGTACATGTGCAAAATAAGCACACCATCAATGTGTTACAATATATATACCCCGACAAAAGTTTCACTCTGTATTTCTCATATATTGTCACTATAAAAATAAGTTATTTTAAAACTAATTACATATTCTGAAAGCTCGCGGAGTTTTCTATCATTCTGTAGAATTAGGTTTTAGTTTTGACCTTTTCATTACCAAAATAAATTGAAGACAACGAAGGCACCCTCATGTCCAGATTCCCAGACTTGATCTTTCCTTCGTCATCAAAACTAGTTTTAAAAATTTTTCATCCGTATAGAATGATCTGTATGAAAAAGTAACTATAGATTCTGATAGAGCTTAAAATTCTCTATCACCCTGTCTATTTACTTATTTTCTTGCGTTTATAGATTGAAATAAAATTGAATACAATGAATATACTCCGAATCGACTAGCCCAAAAAATTTGCATTTTTTTTCGCTACTTAAATTTAAGACACTGTATTAATACATAATATCATAGAGCATTTCAAGTGCTATCAGAATGTGTGATTTCTTTTGTAAAAACTTACTCCCATAGGAATAGTAATTGGAGAAAAAACTAACAAAGTAGCGAAAAAATGCAGACTTTTGATATTTGTCAATGGAGGGTATGTTCATTGAATTTGTTTATTTTCTTGTATATTCAATGATCTAATCCAAATAAAATATATGAAATAAAAGTACATGCTAAGCCGTGTCATATGTATAAGTTTGAGTTTAATTTGTATTCATTATCATCAAAAATTAGATTTAAAAAAATCTGCCACAACTTATGAGACACCCTGTATCTCAATGAACTTCATTGGACTTCAAGACTGAAGTCTCTGTTGTTTCTTCTTTGTGAAAACTTTTACCTTACTCAACAAAGTCTTTATCTCACTTTATCTTAATCCTACTGTGATTGGAAGACTCTAACAGTGATAAATAGCAAAATAGTATTACAGTAGAGATATGAAAGTTAAGCTGTTTTCGTACCCTGTGTTCTAACTGAGAAAAATTATCTTACCCTTATCCTACCCTACTCTGCACATCTTTAATAAGAACTAAATATATATAGTTATTTAATGATTCAATAGTTTCGTCAAATGAGGACGTCAATCTTAAAGTTTATTACGAGTCTCTCAACTCTTTAGGATTTATCAGCAATTTGTTTATGTTGAAAGTACATAGCTTTTTGTTAAAATAAATATCCTTTTAAACAAAAAAATTGCACTAATACAGGAAAATAAATTGAAAATGTTCCAATTGTCTTTTTTTCTTCTATATAAAAATAAGCATCATATAGAACACAAGATATTATAAACTAAAAACAATAGTTTTTCTCTAACATTCATTCAAATTCTAATCTCTAATCATTGGAAAGTCCTACAAATGCATGTGAATGTTCAATAAGAACATTTTATTTTCGAGAGGAATACATTCGAATACATACTTTCTGATCATCGGACAATTCGTCGTAGGTATGCAGATATCATTGTGAAGGAGAATCTTCTATGTATCTTCACTGACACACCCATACTCATCCACTCTTGATGTTTCTTTAGAATACCTTAAGACTAATATGTTATATGAGAAATAGTTCTAGCACTACAATCGCCATATAATTTGATTCAGAGATAAAAAAAAACTATTAATTGATTACTCAGCATAATGTGCAACCTATCGAGAATAGATTGATACTTTAAAAAGTAGGCTATCTTCTTATGATTTCTATTCTGTAATTGAAACTAATCATTTGTTTTAACATTGTGTTTGATTGAAATTTTTCTTAAATTTAGACACGGAGAAACAATTGGATTAAATAATCTTCGATCATTTTTTGTATTTGCTTATTTTAATTTTTTCTTCGATTGTTTTCTTGGTATTGTTTCATGTGGTCTTCGTGTAACAAAAGCAACGATAGCTGCAATTCTATTTTTTCCACGATTGGATTACTGTATATTTGGACGTACATTAGAAAAAATGGATTCAGGATTTATATCATATGTATCATTTATACATATGGAATGTCTTCATACACATCCTGTACTTGTTTATTATTGTTCATTAGTTAACGACAAAATTGATAAACGTTATGAATATTCACGATCAAATAAACGAGAAATGCGTCATACTGAAATGTATGCATATACACGTCGACAACGTGCAATATTTCGTTGGTGGTTAGCTTATACATTAATACGAAATATTCACTTAGTACAATTAAGAAAATATCAAGTTATTAATTTACAATTACCATCAGCAGAAAGTTTTAATGAATTTTTAGAACGAAAAGTTTTTAATCGTTTTCAAACAATAACATCAACAAAAGTTTTATCAACAAAAAGTCAAGCAAATTTACCTACAGGAAGAATTGTAGATTCGAACACCATTCTTCGAAATCAAACAACAACATGTACTAGTTTATTACTAGGTGTTGATCAACACGATGAACGAAAACCATCATTTTAGAAAAAAAGGTTTTTTTACTTTTTTTTTTTTCGAAAATAGTTAATGCGAATTCTTCCTTTTGATAAGTCTTTCGGTGATATATAAAAAGTTTGCTCAAACAGAACAGTTTCACCTAATGTTTAGAAAAAATGTTTTCAATCGACGTTTTTAAGATAAAATTTCTTTTTCTGCTGTTGTTTTGTTTTTTAAAGACAGTATTATTATTAAAAAAACAGCTCGTACTTTTGCAGCCTTGGTTTTTCTAGCTCCTTTTCGTTTTTTTTTGTAAATAACTTTTTTTGTGTTGTTTTTTTTTTTTGTTTAATTGCTTTTTCAAATTCATTGTGAGAATGTATTGTGTGTGTGAGTTTGAAATGTAGTCTATTTTTGACAAAGAACAGCTTAAAAATGCTTTGGCCATACTGTTAGTATGCCAGATGTGATCTATATTCATGTCTTTTTGTTGAATGAAGGATAGTTCAAGATTCTAATTTACAATCTGGTTTGGTTAGCAGAAAAAATATTCCTTTCCGTTTGTATTAGATAAATATCAAATATATCTAGAAGTATAAACCATATGATTGAGTCACAATCACTAATGCTCTAACAGGTTAGTCATCGTTGCCGACATAAAAAAAAAATAGATCATAGATCGGTCAAAGTTTTTGGCATCCAAGATCTATTTTCAGGTATGTTCTTGGTTAGTTTCTTATCATCATTGTCTCCATCATAATTTTCTTCGGTTTTCATTTCAAGATTTTACGGAACTAAGAAAACTTTAGAAAAATCAGAGTTCTTGATTGCAATTCAACATACTGTAATTATTGAAAAGTTTTTGTGAGAAAATTTAATCGAAGTTATTTATTGTTAGTTTAATATAATTAAATCAAAGAAGTAAAGATGAATAGGACATGCATGAAATGACAAAAGATGATAATCCAACTTGATTTAATAATCAATTTTGAAATACACTGATATCTTAAAATTAAACTTAAAATAATATTTCATGTGCCAATACCAAACAAATTCACTATTTCATTGGCATCTGAATATAATCACATTGTAATCGATAGAGTTGCAGATGCTGCTCTTTCTAGTAATCAGTAATAAGAGAATGAATTGATACTTAGTATTGTAATTTTAACTATATAATGATTTATTGATATAATTTTAAGAATAAAAGTGTTCTAGTCGTAATTCATATCACATTCATGTAAGATTTCTTTATCTATTGTTCTTTTGAAATGTTTTATTTCAATCTTTTATTTCTGTAATAATACAAATAGATATTATTCAACAATGAATAATATTATCGATGTTTGAGATCAATGTCAAACAATATCTTGATAAATTCAAACAAATTTATGTGCAATGCGATTGAAACAAATTTACTTCTTCATATTAACATAGAATTCGATCGATATTTTTTGTAGACTGTCTTGCGCTCAGTTCGAAATAATTTAGTGTGAAATCACTTTTGATCGAGTTGTGTTCAACAGAATGTTTGAAAAAAGTGATATCATTAAAATTTACGAAATCATATATATTAAATATTAAGACCTTTTTCATCAAAAATATTTGTCACCAAAAAATATCACCTAAAGAATCATATTAACGAGCTTTTAATATATGTCGAGTAGATGAAAACTGGTTCTCCAAGCATCATTTACCATTTAAGAAAAAAATTTTTAGAAGCTTTGACGAAGATCACAATCACTCTTTTTTTCAAAGAGATATTGTTTAATTCATAGACCAAGAAATATTAATCTATCGAACAGTAAGATGAACATCATCAGAAATATTTCTATTCAATCAACTATTTTTTTCAAGACATTTCGCATTGATTAAAAAAAGAACGATGTCACCAAACATCGTTTCAATTGTTAATAATGCGCCAAATGTAATCAAAACATACATGTTGACTCTAATTTATTTTCTAGTTTTCCAACTTGAGATTTTAGTTGCTGACAAACAATATTTGATGATTACACCTGATCAACCTCAATCGCTTGATAGAGAACCATTTATAATCGATATTCGTATTCCAGATATTGACGTCTGTCAAGATATTACTACCAATGATTGTAAACTTTTAATTGATCAAATGTTAAAATGTCAACAGATCATTTTTAACGACCCGGGATTTAGTTATCAACAATATAAAGGAAATATTAACGTACATCAACAAATCCTTGTTAAATATCAATCAATGTGTGAAAATGCACAAAACGATTATATAGACAATTATTCATTGGATTTTAAAAACGATTGATCAGATTTTAATAATAACTCAATTGAAAATATACATTTTGAAACTTGATGTCGCCAATAAACTAGATGTTTGATATCAGATTACTTAGAAAATATTTTTGATTATTTCAAAGATGATTATAATTTTTCTGAAAAAATTTTTATATAAAATAAAGTTGTTTATTATTTTCAAGGATACAATAAAATAAAACTATTTACATATTCAAAATTTCCTGAATATCACTGATCTAAAACTTGATAATGTAATACATTTTTTGCTTATCACATTTATGCGTATTAGATAAATAAATTGTTATTATCCAAATGCTTGTGACTATCATATTCGCCGAGCATCAAGGCTTTTCTTTGCACTATTTTTCTTATCGTTAAAAGGCTCTTCGATATTTTCTTTTTATTATAAAAGCCTCTCTACAGGCCCTCGAATGCAAATAATAGAATAAAATTTGTATACGGAGTTAATCAATTGAAAACTGAGTCAATTCAGAGCTATTAAGATGGTTTTTTGATACAGTTATTTTTGTTTTGTATAAGAGTTGTTTTGATCTTAATAAATGCATATATGTTACGGCGAATAACACTCATGTAGCCGTCATACGTAGACTTTCAATTTATTGTCGACACTCATTTTTATTTATTTGTATTGGCTATGAAATAGTATCACATATCTTTTGTTTTATTGCATTTATACACCAATCTTTAGTAGACATAATCAAATATATATACAGCTTGTCATTTCCTAAATACAGCACCTTACTGTGATAAAAATATTTTAGTACTCGGTGAAAAACGAAAGAGCATATATATATATATATATGCTAAAACCCTCTATCATCATTTGCCGCAACAACAATAACCACTCCACTGAAAAAAAAATACTAATATATGAGTGAAAGAAAAAAGTAAAGAAAAAAAGAAGGACTATTCGTTCAGGTACTATATCATAAACAGCTGAAGGTTTTCATTCTCTCTTTGTAGTCTCCAACATCGAACTAGAATAAAAGTAAAAGGAGAAAAAATCAACATAGCAATTTAATATTTTAATATTCCTGGGACCAGTGAAGAAAAAAAGTAAGATACTAATCAGTCAACTATATATATACATATGTATGTATATACATATATACATAACGAATATAGTCTTAAAAAGAAGAAGGCTTTAATAACGATGACGAGAGAAGAAAGCCTTGGTGCCGACGGCGATATTTTTCTTATCAAAGTTGAAAAAGAGTATATATAGGTGTATGCAGATGTGTTTTTTTATTTCCTTTCAATAAAAAAAAAAAAAAAAGAAGAGGAAGAATAACTCATGTCATTAACTATTTGACGTTCTAGTTACACGAGAATAGACGCAACAACGACAAAGACAATATTTGAACGTAATGGTCGTTATCATAAAAAAACTAGAGGTTTGTATCAGATATATATGAGTATCGTAACGTAATATATTAGTTCCATTATCTTTATTTGAGTACACCTATCAAGATAGATGTATATATCGAAAAAAAGAAATTATAATTAATTAAAATTTGTTATGAAAAAAAATTTGAAAGTTAATATGTATTTTTTTATATGTTTTTCATCAAAGATATGATGATGAAAAGAAAATATTTCTTCGTTCTGTAATCTATATAAACGTATCTAGCATATATAAGCAAATTATTTTTATCCTAATATACCATTTATTCTTGCTGGTCAAAAATGCTTTGGCCTTTATTTGACATAAAAAAGACAGATAGTTAGTCTATCAGAATAACATTCTTACACGCGATAAACATTCATCTTGAGATGAGATATAGAATTCTAAATACAGAATCCTTTAGGTCATTATTTGACAATATGTTGTTTGTTAGAAGAAGACGAGAGAGAGAAGGAAAGAAAACGAGATAAGAACGAGGCCATATGCCCGTTTAAAGACCTCTTACAAGTGTGAAATGGATTAGACAACGACCAAGTAACTTTTAACGGTTCGAGTGTATATCGATACATACACCCTGTGTTGTCAGTATTGCATATTTGTTTTTGTTTTGCTTGTCTTTCATATTCATACATGCTATTACTCTTATTGTTTCTCCGCATTAACACAGCTTGCTGATATATATGTTTCTCGCTCTTTCGATTGTTTTGTATGTTTGGACTAGCATCATCATAGTGGCTTAGTTATATGCGTGTGCAATAATGGCTACCGAAGAATAATTTAATCGAATGATACCGAGGCGTAATTTGGGTGACTTCTATACATCGTTGCCAACGAATAATAGAAGAGTATATTCAACACCATTAAGCAGACATGTACGTAACATATAAAGATATATGCATTATTTTGAATTGAAAATCATGAATAACTATCTTATCTTACATTTATTATTATTGTATTGATGATACACCACATCATTCATTACTTTCATTTATGATCATGTTGCCCATAAGCAATATATCATAAAATTCAATATTTTTTTTTCGTCTTTAGACTCCTTTTTTTTAATTCTTCGTTACACCACTTATCCACGTCTTCTATATGTTTATCATATAATTACTAATAAGACAAAGTATGTCTGCCTAGATATTATCATTTAAATAGTATTTTTGTGTATTTATAACGAGTATAAGAAAATTCGACACATTTTTTTGAAAATATCTTTTTTTGTCAGTAACAAAAAAGAAACCTTGCACTTTTGCAAGTATGCGTATCAATATGTTCGTGAAATTGTAGATGTTCTTTCTCATGTAAAGTTTATCTCTCTGTCTTTTTC